GCCCTTCTAGATGTCAGTATGTTAATGGGTAAGGGTCAAGGGAGGGTTCCAGGGTCAAAAGAAGTTTAGGTGGACAACGTCTGGAAATGCTGCCCCTGATACTTGCATCATATTTTGATGTGTAACCAGGTTTGAGGACCACAGGCCAGGAAATGTTGAAGGAGAGGAGTAGATTCACTTATAGGAGGTAAGAATACAAGGAAGCTACCTTAGCGCCAACATGGTTCCAATTTTCTAATTTTTCACGTGAGGAAATGAAGGTTAAAAGATTTGCCTTTGATGGAGGCAGATCTCTCTCATATTGATGGAGGCAGATCTCATATTGGAACCCCATTGTCTTTAATGACAGCTCGCCTCTTTCCAGCTCACCTAGGGGCAGGAGGATGGTGGCGTGTGGGTTTCCAGGCAAGTCGCAGGGCCAGCCCAGCAGGGATGAGGGAAGCCACGAGGGCAAGGTGGAGATGAGAACAGACTGGCGTGTGGTGCAGAGCTCTGAGGTGAGGGCAGGCCATGGCAGGGCTCTGCATGCTAGTGGGAAGCGACCTTGTCAGCTGCAGAGAGAGGTGTGTCCAGATGGGAATGGGTGGAGGCTGGAAAGGGATCCAGAAAGCACGATGAGTCTAGGCCCATGATGCCTGGCTATGGAACTGCTTGTACTTGTCAGGTTTCTACTAAATATGCTTCAGTGAATCCCTTTGGTGATGTTAGGTTTGGTTGTCTGCCCCTGAAAATTAAATGCTATGCTTAAAGGTGTGGAGGGCATTATTTGAAGAATTCAGTTTTCTTTCAATTTAAGGCATGTCAAGTTCCTGATTAGTTTTTGTCCCTTGCAATTTGTCATTCATTGAACTACCCTGGAAATTCAATAAAGTGAATTAAACATGATCCTTTACATAATTCTTTAAAAACTGTTCATAAGATACCTACGAGGCCTTTAAAAACAAACCAAAACAAAAGGGAACCGCATTTTGTTTCTCTAGGGAGAAGTTCTCAAAGCATGCACATGATCCTCTCCCAACAATATTTGCCATTATTTGAACAGAAATATAATGATTTGATTTCACCTTAATAGTGTAGTTTAATTAGCTGGGCTGCAGAAGAATTCCAACCCTGCAGCAGGATCTCTTTTTATTTTCTCTCTAGTTGTGGTAAAAAACACATAACCTAATCTTAACCATTTTTAAGTGTACAGTTCAGTAATGTTAAGTATATTCACCTTGTTATGCAACGAATCTCCAGAAACTTTTTCACCTGGCAAAATATGGCAAGATCTTTTGATTCGGGGTTCCTGATATACAATTAACCCTCTAATGAAATAGGCAGATTTCTAGAATTTTACTTAAGAAGCTGATAAAAGTGTCTTTTGTTATGTAATATTTGATACATATAAAACAATGTGTGTAACATGTATGTAATTTATGAAACCTGATACTAACAATACAAACACCCATGAAACTACCATGCCCTACAGTTCTACCGGTTTGCGGGTTCCTTTCTTATCCATTCCCCTTCCCCCCTTTAGTTTAGTTTGGAAAACATATGAATTACATACTAGGCCCTATACTTCTTTGTGGGATGATTTTCTGTCACAAGCTTCTCCGTCCCCTGGAGGAGTTCATTGTATAGTGACAGGAACATATATATGAATGAACACTTGCGACAGAATGAGAAAATTCGCTAATAGATGTGTGAAAAAAGTGCTATGAAAACCAAGGGAGTATATATATATACTATACTATACTATACTATATAGTATACTATAGTATACTATACTATACTATATATATATAGTATTATATATACTAACAAACGTAAGGTAGATAGCCAGTGGGAAGCAGCCGCATGGCACAGGGAAACCGGCTCGGTTCTTTGTGGCTGTCTGGAGGGGTGGGATAGGGAGGGTGGGAGGGAGGGAGACAAAGAGGGAAGAGATATGGGAACATATATATATGTATAACTGACTCACTCTGTTATAAAGCAGAAACTAACACACCATTGTAAAGCAATTATACCCCAATAAAGATGTAAAAAAAAAAAAAAAAGAAAACCAAGGGAGGTTGGTGCTAATTCTCCCCAGGCGGGAAAAAGGAAAGCTACTGAGATGGAGTGATCAGTGAACCGGGCTTTGAAGAAAGAGGAATTGTTGACAGAGTAGATAAAGAAGATGAAAATATTTCAGCAGGCAGAAACAATATAAGCAAAGAGATCATTAGTAGCTATGAGGTATGTTCAAGGAATCCCAAAGAATAGAGTGTGCCTGGAGATGGCCCTCCTTCCATTTAGCTCCTCAATGAACTTTGAGATATACTGAGTAACAGTCTTGAGCCAGGCATGGTTATGCTCTGGGGAACTACAGCCCTGGCTTCCAATAGCATATGTCTACAGGGGAAGATTGACAAGCAAACAATCAGTTACAACACCATGGTCAGTGCCATGAAGGAGTCCGCACAGGGTGCCAAGGGGATCCAGGCACAGGGAAGAGTAGGTGGGAGGTGAGGTGGAGAAGTGGGTTGTGGCCAGGATGAGAAGGGTCTACGTACGCCATGTCAAGGAATTTGAAGTCTACTTTAGAGATCTTGAACAGTCAAGAGGATTTGGGGCATGGAAGTGAGTGGGACGACGACCTGATTATTTTTCTCTTTTTAAGGGAAAAAAACCTAGTGACAGTGAGAAAGGCTAAAAGAGCGGTTAGAAAGTTATTGCAATAGTTCTGGTGGGAGATGCAGAACCTCAGACTAAGGCAATGACATTCATTCATCCATTCATTCCACAACTATTTATTAAGCAACTACTGAGTGCCACGTATTATGCTTATGCTGGGGTAGAGGGTGCAGATGGACGTATCAGATGAGATGGGGTGTGAGAGAAAAGGATGCTCTACAGACAACTGTGAAGTGAGAGAAGACAAGGAGAGACAGAGGAGACCTTGGCAATCACTCTTCAGTCTAGAGTTTGGGCAGCTCAGAGGATGGTGACATATCTATCGATGAAGAGCAGTTCTGGGGAAAACATGATGAATTTAGCTGGGACACAATGGGGAGAGATGCCTACGTTTGAGATGCCCATTGGGTACCGATACTATGGGCCTGGTCTTCTGAAGCCGAGGCCAGCAATGGGTGGACACATTAAGTAGCCGTCAGCTTATCCATCGTAGCCGAAGTCATGAGCATTAGTGATATTGCCCAGGGACAATGTGTAGAGAAGGTTGAAGACAATCCTGGAGAACAAGAGGTGAGTGGCAGCAGAAGGAGACAGGGGAAAACTGAAGACAGATTTAGAAGAGTTGGCAGCAGCCAGCAGAGGAGAGAGTTGAAAGAAGAGAGTGCCCATTGCTGAAAGAGCTACAGTAGAAGGCGAAATGAGCAGAGATCCCTGGCTGGGGAGTTCAGGCTTGCAGTGTATGGACTAGAGCAATGATGCTGATGGAGGCCAGGGTGCAGTGGGCCGAAGAGTGAATGGAAGGAATTGTGGACAGTCTGCTCTGCAGAGAAGTTGGCAGATGAAAGGGAGGGAGAAGGAAGAGGGCGGCTTGAAGGAGGAATAATGTATGAGACATTTTTAAAGGCTGAAAGAGGCCAGTAGGCAGCAGGGAAGAAGAGAGAGGAGAGGAAAGGATGAAGATAGCACAGGCAGAGGTGAATGAGAGAGAACAAAATAAAGGACATGAGTGGTAAGAGAGGCAGAGGGGCCAGGCTGCATCCGGGGAGGGGAGGGATGTTGGAGCAGCATGCATGAAAGTGCTACTTGAAGTGGAAGGTTTATCACAGGACAGCTTCCACCTCTCATTGAGACAGAAGAGTAGGTTGTCTGTTGAGAGTGAAAGAGCCAGAGATAGGACAGTCATCTCCGGGAGAACGGGAACAGTCTGGGAGAGACACCATGGGGGTGGAATCTGGGGCTCCATAAGGATGAGGTGAGAGTTTGCTAAGCAATGAGAAGGCCTCGTAAATGTGCAGTGGCCCCAACAGCATGCTTGGGCAATTCTCTTTTGAAGGGATCATCATGGAGCAGGAGAGAAGACTATCAATTGCTCTGTCTCGGTATAAGGATGGGGCAGGGCAAGTGGGCTGGGCATTAGGTAATCTAGGGTGTTCATGAAAGCGTCAACATGGGGTCCATAGGTTAAGACACCAGGCAGGCATTTATCCTCTCCCCCAGATTTTTGATTTGGAGGAGCCAGTCCCCATTGCTAATCACAATCTATCAGTGTCTGGTGACCTGCTGAAATTTAGGCAGGATGTGGTGGCCTTTGCCTGTGTACGTAAAGCTACCATCCTAGTTAGACTGCAGGCTTTCAGGGTGCTGCCTCTTGGCTGGGATGATGGTAGACTCTCAGGGTTACCTGCATTTTCCAGATCTGTATTAGATAATATTTACCTCTAATACCACTGATTCATTGTGGACATTTTTCCTCCATATGTTCATACGTTTACTCATCCAGTACATTTCAACTCTTTTCTCCCATGATCCTCTTCTCATGCAGATTTCCTAGTCTTCCTTTTTTTTAAAGTTCAATTTAGAGATTTCAATAATATTGGACCAAACTTATAAGTGGATGGAGTGGCCATAGCATGACTTAAAGCGTTCTGGCAATGTCCCTTGTGGAACTGAGGCAGGCAGGGTTTTATTTATTCATTTATTTTTTTGTAAAATATTGGCCCCTGAATTCCCTTTTTGAAAATGCAAATAAGCACAGGGTGCATAGGCCAATGACTCTCTCTTCCAATGTGAATTTTTTTTGTGCCAGTGAATAAAGTTAGGAATCTTAGAAGGCGAAGATTTACCTGGGGATACTGAGGGCCACATTGGGAAACACTGAAAAGTTTCGATCCAAGACCTGGCCAATTCTGTCTCCATCAGTCATTACTGATAGATTATTCTCTGCTACGCGGGCAATAAGTTAACCCAGGTTCCATCTAGGTGGGAGATAAGAGCCAGCTGGGAATGGGGTCCTTTCAGAAAGGCAAAATGCAATGGGTAGCACCAGTCACTCTCAGCCTTCAGATTTCTTCTTCCAGGACCAGCAGGAAGCAAGAGGATGCTGACGGCTGCAGAAGGCTGGCCTCGTAGTGTCTGTTATGCCTGATCTGGCCATACTGGTCGTTACATGTTAAAGTGCTCTTTATGATTAGTAAACGGTGACCTGAGTGCCTGCCCTTGTACCCCTGCCACCCTACAGGACTTCATGGACCATCCCCCATCCCATCCCATATCCAGCCACTAAAGGGTTAATGTTTGGCTCAATTGGGATGGAGGCCTTGCAAATTGTTAAAGATTTTGACTATTATTCCCCGGAAGAACTGTGAAGAAGCAGGAGGAAGGCAAACCTCATGGGCTCCTCATGTTACAGACCCTTTCTTCTCTCTGGCTATTTCCCATCATGGTGATATGGCTTTGGTACCAGGTCATGGGGCATTTCCCACACTCAAGACAGGGCAGGTTTCAGGACTGTCATTTACAAGGATGCCCTGTGCTAGTCCCAGACTGTGGTGAGGGCGTGCTGTCACGCGGGGGAGAGAAACTTGCTGCATACTGCATCCTGGGGTGCGGGGAGATGACGTTTGCCCTCCTTCCTGTATACTCCCTTTAGAAAACATGTGAATTTACCCTGTCCTCCTCAGAACATCATCACTCATAAAGAAAGCCAGCGATCAACGAGTAATTTGGGGGGCACACTAAGCATCAGAGCCCCAGACAGCTTTCAGAAATATGTGGAAGGGCAGTTTTTAAAGACTTCGTAAACAGGAAAATCAATCGCTAAGATCTTCCCTTGTAAAGAAATTCCTCAGGACTTACAAAATCAGGCCACATTAAGACATTTTTGCTGTCTTCCAAAGCAACATAGGCTTAACCAGATAGATTCGCTGAAAAATATTCTGAATATTGCAAAGCAATCTGACCTTGTGTGATCCTGCCTCCAATAATGAAAGGCATTAAATAAGAGACATTTTCCTGGAAATTAAAACCATGATAAGATATCACTGCATGCCTGTTAAGATTGCTATCATCAAGAAGACAAGAGGGGCTTCCCTGGTGGCGCAGCGGTTGAGAGTCCGCCTGCCGAGGCAGGGGACATGGGTTCATGCCCCGGTCCGGGAAGATCCCATGCTGCGGAGCGGCTGGGCCTGTGAGCCATGGCCGCTGAGCCTGTGCGTCTGGAGCCTGTGCTCCGCAACAGGAGAGGCCACAGCAGTGAGAGGCCCGCGTACCGCAAAAAAAAAAAAAAAAAAAAAAAAAAAAAGAAGACGAGATAACAAGTATTAGTGGGAATCCTTGTACACTGTTCATGGGAATGTAAATTGGTGCAGCCACTATGGAAAACAGTATGGAGGCTCCTCAAAAAGTTAGAAATAGAGCTACCATATGACCTAGCAATTCCAATTTTGGGTATATATCTGAAGGAAACAAAATCACTATCCTGAAGAGATACAGACACTCTCATGTTCGATGCAACATTATTTACAATAGCCAAGACATGTAAGCAACTTAAGTGTACATTGAAGGATGAATGGGTAAAGAAGATGTGGTATACATATACGATGGAATAGTATTCAGCCATAAAAAAGAAGGAAATCCTTCCATTTGCAACAGCATGGATGGACCTTGAGGGCATTATGCTAAGTGAAATAAGTCAGGCAGAGAAAGACAAATACTGTATGATTTCATTTACATGTGGAGTCTAAAAGAATCAAATTCATAGAAACAGATCAGATTTGTGGTTGCCAGAGGTGGGGGCTGGGGTACAGGGTTGGGGGTGGAGTAATTGAGTGAAGGTAGTAAAGCTCGGGGTATATAATGTACAACATGATGACTATAGTTTAGAATACTGTATTGTACATTTGACAGTTGCTAAGAAAGTAATCTTAAAAGTTCTTATCACAAGGAAAAATGTGTAACTATGTGGGGTGATGGATGTTAACTTATTATGGTAAACTTTTTGCAATACATACATGTACCAAATCATTAAGTTGTATACCATAAACTTATAAAATGCTATCTGTCAATTCTATTTCAATAAAACTGGAAAAAAGAGAAATTTCTCACTAATATAAATTGAATGCCATACAGTACAGTTATATATTCCTATTATAGTAAATATTTTAAAATATTAATAATAGTAATTATTATTAATAATAATACAAGGAACAATCTTAAGCAGATATATAGATATTCCTATATAGATAATCCTTTAATTTTCACCATCTACCTGTGAGGTCAGAGCTCTCATCGTCCTCATCATATAAATGAGGAAACTGGGGCACAGAGAGGTTAAGTAACTTGCCCAAGATCACACAACCAGTAAATGGTGGAGTACTGCTTGGCTGTTGTATTGTTACTAGCTGCCCCCACCCAGAGGTAACTGTTTTTAATAATCAAAGGGACTAAGTGAACAAAGGGTGATGCCTACTACAACAGAAGCCCCAGTGTTCACCTCAGGCTGCCACCACCAACACTCCCAGCCACCCTCTTCTTTAAGAGCCCTCTGAAAGTTCTCTTCCCCCGAGAATTCCAGACTTGAAGATATGTTTCCTTTTGAATCACCATAGAAAGCAGTCTGGCTGCCTCAGTTTTTTTTTTTAACCTTAAAAATAAAATGGTTATGCAGCCTTAAGTATTTAAACATTTAACTCTGGGGCTGCTGTGCTTAAGACTGCTTAAAATCTTGGTGAAATCACTCCAGCCTGGATTATACTAATTGACCTGAGACGTGCACCTGTCCCTCCCACCAGGGTCCCTCCCACCCACACATTCTTGTCTGCTACAGGTCATCTTTTCCCCTCAAAACCAGAGGCTTCTATTGGTGCAAAAGCCTCTTTCTTTCCAGAATCCTTGCCACAGGGATCCACATCCTGACTGAGTTTTGCATTCATCCATTTATCATCTCTTTAAAGTGTTGTTTGAAACCATTTCCCCCTTTTGTTCAAGTCTAGTGCTCTATGAGGCTTCGGTTTCTGTCCTACACACAGATTTGAGTCACCTTGCACTGTATGCTAAATGCTGGATTTCCAGAGATAAAGTGAAGACAAGCTCTAGCCTGGAGAGGCTCACCATCTATTTTCCTCTGCTGGGCCTGCCATGGAAGAACTGAGATGCAGGGAATGGGAGAAGCTGTGGCAGTGGAGCAGCACTCACTTCAAACGCACCTGCCTTTACAGCGCATGCTCTGATTGTGCATGAAGTCAGGGCATGTGCTAGAACTAGACTTGCATAGAGCTAATGTTTTTTTTTTTCATTTGGATATTACTTTATTTGGTCTTTTCCTGGTTTGGGGGCCAGGGAATAGAAACTGATAGACAAGCACATATCATTTGGGCACGGCAGGTGATGGCAGGTTATTCCAGGCCCTGCGCTATTTGGGAATGCTGGCCAGAGCTATGTGGTGGCTCCAGGTGACGATGATGGGGAGGAGGTCCTTACTGATCTTGTGCTGGGCACATATAGGTGTGTCCTATAAATGGTATCTAAAAGAATAAAATAAAGGTAGGTGCCACTCTTTTTTTTTTTTTTTTGCAGTCCACGGGCCTCTCACTGTTGTGGCCTCTCCCGTTGTGGAGCACAGGCTCTGGACACACAGGCTCAGTGGCCATGGCTCATGGGCCCAGCCGCTCCGTGGCATGTGGGATCTTCCCGGACCGGGGCACGAACCCGTGTCCCCTGCATCAGCAGGCGGACTCTCAACCACTGCGCCACCAGGGAAGGCCGGTGCCACTCTTTATTGTTAAAAATAAAGAGGCCTGAGGCACTTTCTCAGATGGGCTGACTAGTTGCTAAGACCAAGGTGGCTTTGGAAGAGTATCAGCTGGTGCAACTCAACAAGTGTGTGTGTGTGCGTGTGTGTGCACACGTGCACATGTGCCACACACACACACACACACGTGTATTTATTACACGTCAAGTAATACTCATCATTTACAGTATTCTGCTGATCCTTCCTAGGCACTGCACCCAGAGCAGCCCCTTCAGCTGCTCCACCCAAAATGGTGTGTCCATTGGCAAACCCTAACACATACTGACACCTAATGACTCATGATTTTATTGATCATGTTAGTTTTTTTTTTTTTTCCAGTATGCGGGCCTCTCACTGTTGTGGCCTCTCCCGTTGCGGAGCACAGGCTCCGGACGCGCAGGCTCAGCGGCCATGGCTCACGGGCCCAGCTGCTCCGCGGCATGTGGGATCTTCCTGGACCGGGGCACGAACCCGTGTCCCGTGCATCGGCAGGCGGACTCTCAACCACTGTGCCACCAGGGAAGCCCGATCATGTTAGTTTTTGCCAATTTTGTATAAATTGTACAAAAGACGCTAGACTTATTGTTAATTATTTACACAGTTTCTTGTTGCCGTCTACCTACTCATGGTCCTGTTAACCTGTGTCATTCTTTGCTGTGAGTGGCCTGAGGTCTGAGGCTGGGGGAGAAGCTTGGGGCACTTACCACGGTGCAGCAGAGGGGCCAGAACCACCAGAGGAGAGCCAGGGCCAGAAGCAGGAACAGGATCAGCAGGGCGATTGCCAGGATGGAGCCATCGGACTGCGGGGCGGAGAGAGAGGGCGGTCAGCAGTGGGGCCGGCTGTGCGTGCAACCAGCATGTGAGCTTGGGGGGCAAGGCAATACCTGTGGTCTCTCCCTCCCCGCACTCCCATCCCCAGTATGCAGATTTAAGGCCCAGAGAAGAGCACAGTTTGCCAAGTAAACTGTGCTGCCCAACATTCTGGGCAACACACTCTATGTAGTCAGTTCTCATGAGAAGTGGGTTTGTCTTTTCAGGGAGGCCCCATTCTTCTCTTTGAACAACAGCCTGAAGGACAAATCCTGCAGGAGACAGAGCAGATGGCTGCCTATGCAGCTGGGCACTGAGATGGCCTACCACTGCCATCTGCCTCCGGACCATCACCCTGGGCCTGGTGACAGCCTCCCACTGCCTGGATATGCTGTTCCCGCCACCCCTTGGGCTGGACTTGGGACAATTCTCAGAACTCAGCCTGCTTCCCTGAGCCTGTTTCTCATAGGTGTGTGTAAGAGATGCACGAGGCAAAGTCTAGAGCCCACTGATGGGATGTGATAAAGAGTAGAGGGATTCCAGGGAGTAGAGGGTGAGGCAGCTTCTGCTGACTCCGGGAGGGGAGGGGTGTGGTGACTGAGTCAACGCTGCTCTTGGGTCCAATGAGGCAGGCACCCAAGACAAATCATGTCATGTTAGTTTTTGCCAATTTTGTATAAATTGTACAAAAGACGCTAGACTTATTGTTAATTATTTACACAGTTTCTTGTTGCCGTCTACCTACTCATGGTCCTGTTAACCTGTGTCATTCTTTGCTGTGAGTGGCCTGAGGTCTGAGGCTGGGGGAGAAGCTTGGGGCACTTACCACGGTGCAGCAGAGGGGCCAGAACCACCAGAGGAGAGCCAGGGCCAGAAGCAGGAACAGGATCAGCAGGGCGATTGCCAGGATGGAGCCATCGGACTGCGGGGCGGAGAGAGAGGGCGGTCAGCAGTGGGGCCGGCTGTGCGTGCAACCAGCATGTGAGCTTGGGGGGCAAGGCAATACCTGTGGTCTCTCCCTCCCCGCACTCCCATCCCCAGTATGCAGATTTAAGGCCCAGAGAAGAGCACAGTTTGCCAAGTAAACTGTGCTGCCCAACATTCTGGGCAACACACTCTATGTAGTCAGTTCTCATGAGAAGTGGGTTTGTCTTTTCAGGGAGGCCCCATTCTTCTCTTTGAACAACAGCCTGAAGGACAAATCCTGCAGGAGACAGAGCAGATGGCTGCCTATGCAGCTGGGCACTGAGATGGCCTACCACTGCCATCTGCCTCCGGACCATCACCCTGGGCCTGGTGACAGCCTCCCACTGCCTGGATATGCTGTTCCCGCCACCCCTTGGGCTGGACTTGGGACAATTCTCAGAACTCAGCCTGCTTCCCTGAGCCTGTTTCTCATAGGTGTGTGTAAGAGATGCACGAGGCAAAGTCTAGAGCCCACTGATGGGATGTGATAAAGAGTAGAGGGATTCCAGGGAGTAGAGGGTGAGGCAGCTTCTGCTGACTCCGGGAGGGGAGGGGTGTGGTGACTGAGTCAACGCTGCTCTTGGGTCCAATGAGGCAGGCACCCAAGACAAATCATGCCCACTTCCAAACATGCCTAGGCCAGTCCCCAAAACAGACAGTTGCTGTGGCCTGACATGATTATTAACTTTCATCAACAGAGATCCCACTCCCTCGGTGTCAGTATTCTGGGGCTGCTGGTTCAAGGGAACAGATTTAAGTCCCCGCCACCACCCCTTCTTCCGAGCTACCGGGAGTGCAAGTGGGTACAACCTTTGGAGCTGGGGGCGAGGGGCAAGTTGTCACAGGTATTAATTGTCATAGGTACCCCTTCTGAATAAAGCTGGCAATTCCACTTTTAGCTCCGCCCCCCCCAAAATCAGGTATGTTTGCACAGATGATGATGATGATAAAGGAAAGCAACCTAAATGTTTAACAATTAAGGAATAGTTAATAATACATGGTAGAACCACCAATTACTCTGTAGACATTATGTTTACACATAATATTTAAATGACCTGAGAGAACAGCCCTGATATAATGAGTGGACTTATGTTTGCCAAGAGTGAGAGAGAGACTGAGGGCTATTTACTCAAATATTAATGGTGATTTTGCTGGTAGTGGGTTTATGGTAATTAAAAAAAATCTGTCTTTGCTTTTCTTTTTCTTTGTTTAACATTGCACAATGAGAAATAAACTATTGAAGTTGTATTTTAAAAATCTGCACTTGGGGCTCCTCCCTGTGGTATCAGGGCTCACGTGGCTCACCCAGGATCAGTGGACCTATGGGGTACACAGATGGGCTCAAGTGGATGGAAGGTGTGACCCTCCCGAAACAACACTCATGACCTTCAGAGCATGTGTCTTCAGGGGAGACTGTTCACAGCATGATCAGACTTTCAAAGCTGCCCTCTTCCCAACCATTTACGGAGGGGGAGGTTGGATGGCCTGTTCGAGGCTACACAGCAGGTTAATGGCAGAGCTGGGGCGTGACTCACCCCTACTCTGAGTGCTCAGTGGGGGCTACTGGAAGCTGTTTAAAGGCAGCTTTTACTCCCTGGAATGTCTTTGACCCAAAAGCCAGGGAACTAAACACTCGGCTCCCACCAAGCCAAGGTTTGGGAATGCCAGATTGTCCCCGAGGAAGCTGCACCTCACAAGTGCAGGTGCAGGGCTGGGCAGTGGGTGGGGAGAGGGCACAGCAGCCAGAGGATGCTCTTGGACCCACAACGTTTATGCATGAGCTACGGCAGACGGATGCTCTCCTTGAAGATACAAAGAAATCCCGTGTGTTCTCCAAACTTACTGTTAGTCAAGGACAGCCCCCTTGATCTTTCAGTCTCTACGTTCCATGCCCATAAAATGGAGATACTGAACCTCACCTGCCTCATTGCATTGATGTGAGGAGAAAATGAGCTGTAAGACGTAAGGAGACATGGCCGGACAAGTGGGATGGAAGCTATCATGTCAGACGCTGAGCTGTAACTCATCCTCCCTTTGTTTCCTCGTGGCCAGCAAACATGGTGGCCATTTCAGATCATAAATCTGTTTGCAGTCAGAATAATAAGTGGTTTGGTTACTGCAAGGCTTATAAAACAGTGGTCTTTCAGTATTAAGTTATAATTTAGTAAAGACTACAGACTGCATTTATTCCCATTATATGCAATCTCTCCTCTCCTGATTTTAATTTTACTCTAGAGAGAGGAACTGAAGCAGAAAGGCTAATATATTGTGGGGAAAATTATTTTAATTCCTTCTGGAAAAAGAAGGAATTTTCCTGTGAAGTGGGGAGGGTGGAGGACCGGGACCACAAGGGGAGAGGGGAGGCTTCAACTCCGGAAGGAGATTTCCTGGATTCAGACAAAGCTTCATCCGGCCCGTCTCTGACCAGGCTTGGTCTGCCTCGTCCCAGCCCTCCCTTCCGTAGCAAAGGAGGACAGCGTGGGGCTCAGCAGGGGCAAAGGTGCAGTGGGGACGCTGGGGGAGTGGAAACGCAGTGGGGCAGGAGCTCCTGGAGGGACTGACCCTTACTCTGGGTGCAGCCCCCAGTAAAGCCCCCCAACTCACTGCCTGGTTCTCAAGATCTTCCAGCACCGTTATATACAAACACCCAGTGCAAAAGAGTCACTGTCAGACAAAGGGCATGAATTTCTGATAAACTTAGACATGAAACTAATGTCCTACAAGTAGGTAACATGTGCATGCAACCTCGGAGGAGGTTCGTTCATGGATTCATTCAGCAAACGTTTACTGAGGGTCCATCTGGTGCCCACGGAGCAGACCTCAGCAGTAAGGAGGGATTACACAGAACCAAGGTGCTCATGGTCTGCTGAGGGATATGTATCAACCATTACCCACACTCAGGGGCCTGCGTGTTATTCAACAGCTGTACACACAGCACCTTTAATTAATTAATTTATTTTTGGAGAGTTTTTTATTTAAAAAATTAAAAAAAAATTTAATACAATTTTAAAGGTTACTTTCCATTTGAAGTTATAACAAAATATGAGCTCTGTTCCCCGTGTTGTACAGTAGATCCTTGAGTCTATCTTACACCCAAAAGTTTGAACCTCCCACTTCCCCAGCCCCTCGGTTGCCCCCCCCCCCACCTCCTGCCCGCCACTGGTAACCACTAGTTTGCTCTCTATATC